ATCCAAAATATTTAAAAAATTCAAATTCCCACGTGCAGATTCCAGGCTCTGACCGGGTTCGCAGTGCACAAGTAGCCCGTCCGGATAACTTCGTATAAATTCGTACTTTTGTAGTTTGTAATAATTCATTTTCCTCTTTCGTTTCGGTTTAATATGTTTTTTTGTTGTTGTTGTTATTCTTTTTTCAAACATTTTCCCCAAAAAAAATTTGGGGGGGGGGTGCAGGGTCCATCATTTGACATGTATGGTCGCTCCAATCGGACCAATTAGAGGCAATATCAATAGGTACTTCATGCAAATCATWAAAAAAATTAAATCAGATCTGGCGGTAGAAAAAAGCCTTTTTTTGAATTGTCTATCAGGTTACAAATAATTAATTAGAGCACTATACGTATTTCAATTATCAAATCTTCATTGCAAATTTGTTAGTTATCACTCATGAATGCAAACTATTTGTGATATACCCGACCATCCAAACACGATTAATAGAAAAAAGTTGTCACTGTATTGTTGTTGTCTAATGATTTTTTTCCCTTTTTTGTCTTTTTTTTTTTTTTTTCATTCGATCGACCTTTTACTTATACGGCGGCCATCTTGAATAATGGATGCCGAAGGATGGCAGAATTACGTTTTTGAATAATTTGTCTTGTTATTTCGCAAACTGAACAAAATACCAAACTGCCAGGAAATTTAATTGTTATTTAAAGTGTTTCAAATTGAAAAGCGAAAAGTCATTTTATTCTCTAGGAATGACACGTGGTCTGAAATGGGTAAACATATTGCGCCCAAGCTATAGAGGCCTATTACCGCTGGCTGTGTTCTTTAATCACAGACTGTTAATACTGTGGTTAGCCTCATTTGTTACTCAAATATTTACAAATACCAACGATAAACTAAACAATGCACACGAAGCTCGGCAGACTTTCGCTGGAGCACGTGAATAATATGCACAGATTTCGTCACAGGTTTCTCAGCCTATATGGTTAACGAAATACTTCGTTAAAATATTCCTTTTCATAGTCTAAAAAATTATTTCCCCAAAAATAACAGTTAATTCACTAATAAAGCTTTGGGTGTATTTTAGGGCGTATTTTAGAGAGTTTTGACATGTTTTTGAAATAAAATAGTTCTCGAGTTGAAGAAGTGAAAAAATTATCGTAAGAAATTCTGATTTGTGGAGTTTATCAAATAGCTTTGACTACTTCAAGGCCCCGTCCACACTATGCCGGATAAATTTGAATCCGATATTTTATTTAATATATTATTATTTATTATTTTTTTATTAATTCTTCACCGAAAACGAATTTTTTTCGAATACGGTCTCCAGAGTGGAACAAATTGAAAACGCCGGCTAGCCGTATTAGTGTGGACGGAGAACAATTTCGTACCCGAAATTTTTCGAATACGATAACGTCATGATTGTCATGGGAACATGACGGGAAGGCTAAAATTCACCGCGAGCTCAATTTCAGCTTTGATGCACATAGTCAGATGTGCAATGCAGCATTGACTCCGACGAAGGACTAACGTCCGAAACGTCAGTCTATTATCTTTCGTATTTACGGTGATAAAACTATCTACTACGACACATTTGTGCAATGCAGCGTTTTTGCCGCCTCTGATCGGACTAGTGTGGACGTGAAACATTTTATCCGTTTTCATGTGTGGACGGAAAACTTTTTTTTCGGTTTCGGTGTCAAAGTTGCGGATTCAGATTTATCGGGCATAGTAGTGTGGACGGGGCCTAAGTCTGAAGTACGCGCGCGTGCGTTGTCTGCACGCTTGCCGAAATCGGTTTTGCCRGCCTGTATTAAAATTACATTGTTTTTACCGTCGGTTACAGAAATAAATAAAAGAGGACAAACATATGGTGTTGAGGAAACAAAGCTGCTTCTTGATGAATGGAGTGAATCCAAATTAAAGCAATGATAGAAGACTGCCCTAAATGAAATATTGAGGCATTTGAAAAGGACTTGAACGCTAGCGCGAAATTTCAGAATGAAGTCGTATTTTTTCTACTTTCGATTTTGCTACGATTTTTGCTTGTACATCTTTCAAGGAGGTAGTAAATAAAATACATCAACAAAAATTGTACAAAGTTACCACTAATATAGCAAGCATYGTAGTTGGCCAGTCAGTATATATAGACAAAATAGACATTTTAATGTATTAAAATAGAYACTAGACAGTCAATAGACGTATATTGTGAGTATATATAGACATTAATAGACACATGCTATGGAAACATGACATTGGGATTTTTACTTTTTGATTCAATTGAAAAGGGCAATACTTCCAGACATCTAGTGCTGAACCGTATGGCAGCGCGAAGCATTTACGGCTACGCCGGAGGTTTCGGCCCCGACACCTCTATCCGGAGATTTACAGACTGACCAGGAAGCTCGGCCGAAGGCTAAGGGAGAGGTTATTCGGCCCCTAGACCGTAGATGATTAACCCCTTGCTATGACCAGCAAACTCCAGAATCTTGATGGTGATGCTGAAGGCTTTGAACGCATACTCACTCCTCTCCATGTGGGATGCGTTTAGTATAACTAAAAGGAACGTGCATGATAGTAAATTTCCCTGTTTCAAAGATTATCTGCTATGCACAGTAGACTGTATTGACTAACTAGTGTCTACGGTAAATCATCTACGGTCTAGGGGCGGGGGCTAACCTCTCCATCGTTCACAATAGTAGCTAGATCGGTTTAGTTCAGATCGATCTTATATAAACCACCTCTCGAGCCACTCTAATTTAGATCACTTGTGATCGATCTAAATGTAAGTGTAAACAGCATAAATCGTATGCGAACGAATCGAATCGAACTAAATGGCCCTAGTGTGACCACAGGGAGCCCGGCTTGGTAATGCTAAATCGGTAAAACGATCACGTTTCATATGTTGATGACATTACATAATAATCGTAACTCAATACACCCCTATTACAAACGGTCACTACGTAAATAGAACTTGTAATGCAATAGTGTTAGACGCCCCGTAAGAAGAGAGAAAGGAGAGAATCTCTCCTTTCTCTCTTCTTAACGCGTGCGTTACGTATTTGAATTTATCACGGTATTAAGTTAGGCGTTACAAACACTGGTGTTCTATTGCATAGTGATCGTTGGTGTACGATTATCATGTAATGTCATCAACATATGAAACGTGATCGTTTTACCGATTTAGCATTACCAAGCCGGGCTCCCTGTGGTGTGACTACGTTGTAAGAGTGTCTGAGGCTCAGACTCGAAGTAGTCTCAGTTATGGTCTTCCTGTGGCATTAGGAAAGTAGACACAGGGGTCCCACTAATATTATAAGTAACGTCTTGAACCACAGGTAGCCCAAGCTTGGTTTCTGTGGTGTCCTGTTATAAGGAAATGTATGGGGAATCATCAAAAATTTCAATAAAATCAT